CCGAGTTCGTTACTTGTATTTGAAAGGTTAGTGACACAGTAATAGTACGTCGGGTTTCGTTGTATACGAAGCACCATCGAATACAGAATCGTGCGTTATTATTCCTCCCGACCCATATACCCACCTCGCAATAGCAGCCAGGGTTTGCTGGAAGGCCACAGCGGGGTCGTCGAGTCGGTGACAGCTGGAGTCGACGCGGAAGGAGTTGACCGGGGACAGGGGGCCCAGTGGGCTCATGAGCAAACACGGCGTCGAAATGGTCATGACTGGGGTGACGAGACTCGGCGTGGACAGTGTCATGCTGGGCATGAAGAAGTGGGACGAGCGGAGCAGGGACGGCAAGGACGGCGGCTTCGACGGCGGCTTGTAGAACGGCAACGCCGGCATGGACGGCGGCTTCGCGGCCAGCTTGTACAGGTTCTTGCGGCGCCTGTAGCTGCGGCGAGTCAGCCAGGGGTGATGCAAGCACTCCTTCGCTGTCGGTCGTTGGCTAACGGCGAGGATCAAGAAGAACACGAAAAAATGGAACATTAATTTCCAGAAGCTTATCGTCCGCGGCATTTGTCTTCTTTTGATTATTTCATCCCATTCCTCGAAATGAAGAAAAAATTTTGAAATCGAAATCAGACGACATCTTTCATCGTAGAGTCATTTTGAGAAAAACATCACAAATAAAATTGCGATTCCTTTATTCTCATTTCATTTTTTTTTCAATACCGCAATGAGTGGTTTCAAGTCTCTATAATTAGTCTAACGGACTCCAAATTTTAGAAAATTTTCCTGTGAGATTGAAACATTTTTACAACTTCCTTCCTCGCTATTAAAATCATATTTTTTGAAAGGCGAAGACAAGTGATTTTCAAAACTCTTGAAAAGATAAAATTCCATCTTGATAAACCTTTTTTTTTCAATATAAGGCGAGGGTCGAGGGTTTTTAATCACCATCAGATGCACTGATTTCGTGATTCAAATAGAACGAACTTGCTCATATTCATATTTTTTAAACTATCTTAAGATCATCAAGTCGGAACTTATTTATCCAAAAGAGTACAATTTCGAAAGCTTTCGTTAAGAAAATATTTTCTCAAATCTGAAGCCATTCAACTCACGCCATCCTGCGATTCTTGGGTGGATCTTAACGTACTCTAAAAGTTTAACGTATTAAGCGTTAATCAAGTATATTTCTTTTGAAATCAGGTTGATTCATTTTCTTCTATATGGTCTATTCAAGACTACAACTTCTGTCATAATTTTTTTTTTAATTTGCAGAATCGGCAAAAATGGTCATACTAGCAGAACCTTCATTGAAAAAGCCGAGAAAATTGCTTTAATTGAACAGTGCGATGATAAAAAGAAAGGCACCGGCACGGAATGCCAAAATTTCCTTGCATTTTTCAGCTTTCATTTACTTTCGGACTTGTTTCTGTATATTTTATTTAATTTTTTAAACAATGATGTCATTTTATTTGGCATGATTTGCTTCCTCCCATTCTTCATTTCTCTCTGAGGCGTCGTTTCCCGCGAATTATCCGCTCGGGGTTCCTTGAGTACTGTACAGCACTTCCTTTTTAGTCATTCTATTTTAGGACATTTCCTCTACGACTGCTCTTTCTTCAGCGGGTCTTTTTTACTTGGCCACTAACAGATTTTGCCTTCCGTATGCGGAAAAGGACCGCGAGTCATCATAAACAGCCAGCCCAAAATATATGAATACAGGTGGACTAAAAAAAAAAAAATTCAAGAGACCATAAGATATCTTTGCACAGATAATTTTGTTGTTAAGAGCCCCTAGGGCCCTAGAGATCTAGTATGAAGAAAGAATAATATGGGGCGAATATTCTCAATACAGGTCAGAAAACCGTTGCAGAGAGAGTCTACCTGCATTTATTTCCATGCCTCTCACAGGCTATCGAAATTTTACACAGTATCTTCAGTTTATAAGAACTTTTTCTCACTGGTTCTTCGTAGAAAACGGGTTTAAGAAACTGTGGCGGAAGAAAGAAAAAACTAATGCACATCAGTGTAAGGAGCATTTACCATGATTGAAAGAACGTCGGGCACTGCCTCATGTACGAAGGCTTGCTTCTGATCTTTGTAACGCATCTGCAACCTTGATATTCCACAACAATACACAAAAATCTGTACACTCGCTTTTGCATATTCAAATGGAAAACCTCGTGGCATTAGTACTGTCCTTCGTTCAGTTTTATTTTTTTTAGATATAAAAACTGAGGAAATGTCTGGAGAAAGAAAATGATACACGTTGATATGTATTTGCCAACTTGTTCACACCTCCACAAAAACTTACGTCGTGGTTATTTACTGACGCTGAAAAAAAAATCTCTGAAGATAAATCTCGTCTCGCCCGCACTCCACAAATCGCAGCAAACACGCCAGAAATTACCGAACATCACGTCTTTTTTTTTATAAAGTCTTGTATCTTTTTTCAGTCAATATTTTTTTTAATTAGCGATCTTAAAGAGAATACGTGCTCGTGTCCTTCAAACAACAGCGACCGTGAATGATGCCGCCAAGATGTTTCCTTACCCCCGCCCGAAAAAAAAACTAGGGTACCGCATGTACAATAGTTTTATCGTGCCGCAATTCAAGCACACCGCGAATTTATCCAGCAATGTGAATTACTGTATAACCTCAATTATCCAGGTCTAAGTCAGCTAAGATACTATTTTTTTCATTTACACTGTTTTTTTTCTTTCAAATACTGACGCATTAATTTTTCTCCACGCAGTCTGTGAAAACGCCGCCCAAACAACAAACGCCGAATATTTTGAGTGTACAACAAAATGACTGCATTCAAGTACTGTATGTTGAAAAAAAGGATCAGCCAAAATGTGATGCAATACTTTATTACCAGCATTTCCTAAATTTCCAAGAAGAAACACATTACACTAATGCCCTCGTCTATGATCTTCACTAATTAATTATCTTGTTCCACATGAGTTCATCAACTTTCGGGATATTCATCTGTTTTCTTAGGCTGGAAGGCCAATTCAATCTGGAATAAATAAAATTACTTGCCCTAAAATTTCTGGAAGAGAAGCTGGATGTAAAAAAAAAAAAAAGAAGAAGCATTCGAATGTAATTCTGGGATCAAAGTATTTCAAAAATCCGAGCTTAAATTGACTAAAATCCATCAGAGATTGAATGAATATTATAGAGACTGGTTTAAAGTCTCGTGATTCATCCGGCATTATTTTTTATCACAGTATCAAGCAATCTGGCATCAAAGGCTATCCCAAGTTCAAATGCGCCATGGTCCCAATTAAAAATGTTCAAAATATTTCGCATGCGCAAAAAAAAAATGTATATTTCTTACGATTCTCATCTCGGGCTTCTGACAACTCTTCGACCTTAGCGTATCTTCGTTCTTTCGAATGGTTCCTTGAAATTCCGAGCATCTGACGGATGCTGGTCAGGTAAGTTAGTTCCGACGAGAACAAGGAAGCGGGTTTCGTTCCGATGGGGTAACCCTGCTATTTTTCTTCGCCGGGTTATGAAGAATCCCCCTTCAACAGTGATGGACTTCTCTCGTACCCTCGACCCCGACGACCGTCACCCGTACCCAGATTGGGCGTCGCCAATCAAGGGCATCATGTTTACTCATCCGCCGATGTTTTTATCTTTGTTTTGAAAAATAAGATACACTCAACTCGGGTTCAGAGAAAAAAAAATCGAATCAACTTGCTGAATAAATCAGTGGATGTAATGTGCCATGAAATTGTCCGGAGCTTGCATCATTCTCAAAAAATGTTAGCTGTTTTACCAAAAAAGTGACCCGTGAAATTAACCACGAACACCCACAAGAACTCGTAGGATTCAAAATTATTCTTTACCTTTTGGCTTTCAAAGGTATAAAATAGAATATTCTTCGTAAACTTGAATGATTTTCTTTAAAGTTCAAAACGTTTCCATTTTATTTAAAGAGAAAGGCCATCCTAAATTAAAAATTCCAAGTGTTTTTACTGAAGCTGCTCTACGAAAAAAAAGATAAATGATAAAATGAAACCAGGAACACCCAGAAGAACTCGTTCGATTGAATATAATTTTTAAACTTTGTATTTCGGAGATGCAGTATCAAATTTGAGGCTCTAAGAAAATTAAAAATCTTTCATTAGGATGTGTGGGTGTGTGTAGCTTTCAAAAAATTTAGGATAGGAGAAAATGAGTAAAGTATTTGTTTGAATTTCAAAAGATCAGACCCGAATTTCGTGTCGCAAGCAAATCTTAAACCTGGAAGCTTCCGAAAATAAGAAAAAAAAGTCTGGAAGCGTTCCGGATTTTCTCCAACATTTTTTATTCGTAAGTGGCCTATTTTTTTCATTCTTTCCAGAAACCCTAGCCAAAATGTAGGAGTGACATATTGTGCAAATACGGAAAACGCTTCCTTTCATTTTACAAAGAGAACATGATAAAAAAAAAAAAGACGGGCTTACTGCGGTTCGAGGTTCTAATATATCCAAAATACATTAAAAAGATGTTTAACTCAGAATCTTCGATGATGCTCGGATTCTAATTCTACTGAGGCCCACCGACAACGATTTAATTGTCTTGGATAAACAGTACAGAACCTCGAACCGTAAAGATCTTGAAAATTTTTCAGGCGAACTTTTTGAATACTTTGCTGTTTTTTTTTTACTTGATTTTATCTCCGGTCCAACTAGGGCATGATTTCACACCTTCGCGAGTACAATACCAACCCACCAGCCAAGATAAAAAAAAATCGGCAAATATCCGGTAGTTGAAATGTTTCGGCTGGTTGCATCACGAACCCTCCATAATTAATCATGAAGATGAAGGTTAGTCCCTGAAATATCCCACTCTTGAGAGTCTAACATTCACGCTTGAAAACACACAGCAGGATTTTGAAAATACTGTACTCTACTGTGATTTCTCTTTCTCTAAAAATCCCTTCACGCGGGGATGATAGCCGACGACGTAAATATACCCGTACGCCGCAGTTTCCAGTCTTCTTTCCCCGCGTCGACGAGGCGAGTGGACGTAATCCATTCATGATTAAAAGAAGAAAAAAATTTAGAATACAATTCACTTCCCCCTTTTTTAAAGAATAAAACAAAAAAGGGAAATATTTCTGCGGTGGCGATTAGTGACCGGCAACGGAAATTTAGTACCGCCGCACGTGACTACTGACAAAAAATGTGGGCGCTTGCTGATAAACGATCCCAGGGACTTCGCCAGCATTCCATACTTTTCTCGCGGGTCATTTATTACCCGATCCGAGGGTCATTATAGGACTGAGAAATTTAGAAATGGGATTAGGAATCACTGACGGCAACTGAATTAATGCAGCAGACCACACGACGCGCTTGTGTATATATTTCCCGCATGTTATCATCATGCTTCAAAAATCTGAACTCCGCTTCTGAAGATATGCAAAAAATGGGCTGTAGTGCACAACCAACTTGAGTCTCGGGATTTTAATTTTCGACAACTGTTTTTTTTTAGGAGACAGAACACCCTTTTGAATCGAAATCAGGAACAAAATAAAATAA